AAAAAAAAAAAAAAAAAAAAAAAAAAAAAAAAAAAGCAGAAGCAAAAAGTGGATAGAAATAGTCAATAGAGTCCGCATTATTCCAAATGACAATTTGAGCCAATCAATTGAAACGAGCGCATTTCCATACAAATACAGAACATAGTTGAGATTAGACGACGCCACTAGACAATTTGTAGCCGCTCATAGTGCAGATTAAAAGAGGTACCCCTCTTAGTTCCCACCCCCCAACTTAGGTTCTTCTTCTTCTCAAGTAAACTTAATTAAAAAAACAGAACCTCAATCCAAGGTATTGTACACTCCTCTCCTCTGCTCTTCTCTTGTTTGCGAAAAAAACATTCATTAACTTCAAAAGAAAAACTTACATGTATGTATTCTGCATGCTTTTTTTTTTTTTTTCCTACAGTTTGAATTAATTCATCTCTCATCTCTTTGTTTTGCGACATAAAGAAAGAGAAAGAAGCGGCGCGCGCGGGCGAACAATATGGATTGCCCGGAAATTTCATGGCTCTCCGAAATGGTAATTTCCTCATTGTCAGCCATCTCATATACAAAAACAAACACAAACTCACACACACGGACACACACATACATACTCACAAAAACAAAAATCGAAAAAAAAAAAAGAAAAATAAAAACAGATTATATATTTGGTTGTGATATATCTGCTGTGCAGGGGTTAGAGAATTCGTTGTTGAGTGAGCAATGCGATTTTATGTTGGACAATACGATTACCCTAGACGAGGAGATAGCGGCAGTCCTTGGGCATGACCTGGACATGATGTCATCCTCTTCCTCCACCCTCATCAACACACTCCCAAGCTCAAACTCCATATCCTCCCTCTACACAGACAATTTTCAATACTCTCCTCCTCCGCCTCCTCCTCCTCCTCCTCTTCCTAATAATAATAATAATAATATGGGGGAGCAGCAGCGGCCGGCCAAGCTCCGAAAGGGTAACAAGTTGTCATCGATTGACCGTGGAGCGGCGCCTCCCATAATTCTCAACTTTGACAAGAACTCGAGTCCCACGAAGAATCAGAAGACTCAGGCATGCGAGGAAGAGGAAGAGGCTACAGTGGTGAAGAGGAAAAAAATAGGTGGACGGGTGAGGCCGCCTTCCCAGACATATGATCACATTATTGCCGAGAGGAAGAGGCGCGAGCAGCTCAGTCAGCGCTTTGTTGCTCTCTCCACCATAGTGCCCGGCCTCAAGAAGGTACTTACACTAAATTTTTAGTTTCATATGGACCTTAGATGTAGTCCAAAATTGTCGACGTGACAATTTTTTCTTAGAATTTTATTATGAACTCCAAATAACTATTACTCAGTTTATATTGATAATTTGGTGATACAAGAAATATCTTACGTTGGTCTGAGGACACGTGGCGGCGATGTATGTTTCAATGTCCTCCTTAGTGCGTCTCCTTTACTCTGATGCCTGCAAACAGAACCCCGAGATTTTCACCAAGGATAGATCATCCAATGCCTATAAATTAGAATCGGTTTTAGGTAATAGGGTGGCGGCTGTAGAGAACGAGTAGAAGAGAGAGTCCCCCTACCTTAACTTAACCTTGATTATCCTACTATAGAGATCGGATGACCTAGGTCTTACCTGAGCAGAAGAAGGACTTCCCAGCCAACTAGCTTGGTGGATTATGGTCCATCAATTGGGCCACCTTTAGACCTTGGGCCTAAAGCAAAACTCCTCAAGACCCTAAAGTAAGGCTCTTGAGGACATTGGCCTAAAGTGAGACTCCTCAGAACCTTATAAGGCCTCAATTGAAGTTGGGTCTTAGTCTTCACCTTGGACACCAAACGATCCTCATAACACACATGCCCTTATTCTCCAGAATCACGTGTCGTTTAATAAATGTATATTTTCTTTTTATCGATAATAATTAATAATGTATGCAGATGGACAAAACATCAGTTTTGGGGGACGCCATAAACTACTTAAAGCACCTCCAAGAAAGGGTGAAGACATTGGAAGAGCAAGCGAGCAGGCAAACAATGGAGTCGGTCGTGCTCGTCCGGAAATCGCAGATAGCAGAAGAGGGCTCGTCCGATGACACTTCTGCCGAGCTCCCGCTGCCCGAAATCGAGGCCAGAGCCTCCAATAATCACCTGCTCCTCAGGGTCCACTGCCAAAAACACAAGGGCGTTTTGGTAAATCTGCTCACTAACATCGAGATGCTCAACATGGCTGTCATAAACACCAATGTCACCCCCTTTGGAAATTTCGCCCTTCACATTACAATTGTTGCTGAGGTATTCATTCTTTTATATATAGATTCCTTATAAATATTCAATAAAACACATATGTATTTATTGAACAACAATTTCTTTATTTATATATTAATTTTTGTGATATTATATATTGTGTATAGATGGAGAAAGAGTTCAACTTGTCAATGAAACAAGTAGTGAAGAGGCTTCGTGCAGCTCTCAAGCTAGCAGCTTAATCCAAAAAAGCGCGCGCGCGCTAACCACATATACACACATACATGCATAAAGGTCGTCTATGTTACATTGAATTGGCCCAAAAAAAAAAGGACATTTAATTTGTGTTATGTAATAGTTTATTAGTTGGTATACTTAGTAGGATGATACGAAATTGGAGACATAATATGTTAAATCATTATGGGCGTATGCTAAAGCAAGTAATAATTAATAATGTCATGGAGTTTTCATTTTGAGTATCCATCCTTAAATATTTGTGTTTAAATCAGTACAAATTGCTCAAACTTAAAACACAAAATCATAAAACGAACATTGATGATACTAATGGACGGGATAAAAGCCCCGCCCGATTATTTTTTATATTTACAAGCCACGAGCTAGACGCGGATTGGATGCAGACTAAAAATTGAATATGTGCGCAGGAAATATTAATTCCAATGATCATGCATGCCTGATAACTTATGGCTTATGACTTTTAAGGATAACTTTTTTCATTTGCAGGCAAATTAGAATAAATTGGGCATATATTAAGTGCATGATATTTTAAGTTATGGTCCTAGTTCGTCGTTTTGTACTGACAAGTTAGAACACTAACTTGAAAATTCACGTCGAATTTTCAAGTTAGTGCAAAAGTTTGTCGACGGTGTACATAATTGCCACATGCTACAAGTAGGGCTGAGCATGAGACTCGGAGAATTTCGAACCGTTCTAAAAACTGAACCGAAATCACTCCGAACCAAAAAATAACTGTTGACCGTTTAACTTTCTCCGAACCGAACCGAATAAATCGGCGCGGTTCTGGAGATGACGAATATCCGTACCGAGAACTGAACTGAACCGTCTCATACTGTACCGAACCGAAGAACCGAAATTAAGAACCGAGTTATAACATTAGATGTGTTATTAATATAATTTACGTCAACTTTGATCCTATATAATATAATAATAAATAGTAACATTCACTTTAATTTCATGCTTAGTAATATTTGGTCTGCAATTGAATTTTTTGTTATAAAATAATGAGTTAAAATAATATGAAAGGTTAACGAATATTTTTTAAGAAAGAAATATTATATTTTGTTTGAATTTTAAATTTTCAATATTAGTTTCACAAATTTAGTCTTAACTAAAATTTGGAATAACTTCTAAAGTTGATTTCAAAATAAAATCTTCAGTATGAGGAAGCATTGATGAATGTTGGTTGTATTAAATCATATAAAAATCAAATAACTAAAATTTAGAGTTACTTCTAAAATTAATTTCAAAATAAAATCTTCAAATATGATGAATTATTGATGAATGTTGTTTTTATAAAGCATATAAAAATTAAAATATAACTAGGTAGTCATTCAAAAATAATTTTAAAAAAATAAGAAATCTCAGAAGGTCAGAACCAAACCATAACTAACCGAACCGTCCCAGTAGTCCCGAATACCGAACCAAACCAAATAGAAAATTAAAAATATTCGAACCGAACTGAATTGACTTTTGCTACGGTTCCGGAGATCGAATTTTGATATGGTTCCAAAAATTTATCAATCTTTGAATCTTACCGACTCACGCTCACCTCTGCTACAAGTTCTAGTGCATAAATTGAATTTTCCCTTTGCGCGCACAACTTTAAATAAAATAAGTGATTAATCAGAAAATGAAGACATAATATTTAAATAAATAGGAGTGTACACATATCATAATAATATCATGGATTTGCAACGTGGAGTTGCTTCTGAATATCAAATGTTATAAAAGTCGCTACATGCTCGCTAATCAGTGGATTGTGGCCTAGCGTGTAGGGTGCTAGATCAGGGACTAAGTAACTGAAAATACTTATAAATTTTTATTTATCAACATGCATAATTTGTAAGATATATTACAAAAAAAATATACAAAAACTATGCGTAAAAAATCTAATGCATTTGTAATAATTTTATTAATTTCAATTTAATTATTAACAATTTTTTATTAGATAATTCATGTAAAATTCATGCGTAAATAATTATTTTTATATAAAAAATATTTAGAAAAACCGAGAAACAATATCCAGGCGCCACGAAGATAAACTAGGTCAATGCTTGCCTAGGCCTCCTAGCCAGTCTAGGTGTGAGTAACTTTTCAACAACAACGTTAGCTCTGTAATTTGAAGGGCCTATGGGCAAGCAAAAAATATGGGCCCATTGTCTTCGGGGCAGGATTCAATTCTTCTTCAGCCGACAGCCATATACTTCAACTGATTTTTTTTTACCAAAATACCCTCAAAATATTCACTCTACACTATACTACATGGGTTGAGGGTATAACTGACTTTTCACTTCGATCCTCTCTCTCTAACTCTCTCACTCTACCGACATTTGTTTAATAGTTTAGTTGTACAGATGAGATTTGTACAAGGCTTTTTGTTTGTCAATTAACATGGGCCTTCAAATAAAACAAAAGGCCTATTTAATATATTATACACTACAAAAAAACACTACAATTCCAACGAAAAATTCCAACGGTAAAAATTTCCGTTGGAAATTCCAATGAATATCCAACAAACTTAATTTTATGTTGGAATAAGTGTTGGATAGTTGAGGAATTCCAACGAATTTTTTCCGTTGGAATAGCTGTAGGAATTTTTTTCCATAGGATTTTCCGTTGGATATTTGCTATTCGGCAAAAATTCAAAATTGGTCCTATAATTTGGCCATTGTCCAAAAAATCACCCCTATATTGACCACTTTCAATTTAGATCCTATAATTTGTCAATTTCATCAATTTTGGTCCTTTTTTATCCGTACCCTGGATTAAAAAGTGACGTGGCATGAAAAAAGGACCAAAATTGATGAAATCGACAAATTATAGGACCAAAATTGACGTGCCACGTAGATCATAATCACGCCATGTAACCTTAAAAAAATGACACGTCATGCCACGTCACTTTTTAATCCAGGGTCCGGATAAAAAGGACCAAAATTGATGAAATTGACAAATTATAGGACCTAAATTGAAAGTGGTCAATATAGGGGTGGTTTTTTGGACAGTGGCCAAGTTATAGGACCAATTTTGAAAATTTGCCTTTGCTATTCCAACGGCCATTTTTCAACGGATTTTTATACGTTGGAATATCCGTTGGAATAGCTATTCCAACGGAAATATAAAAAAATCCAACGGAAAATTTCCGTAGGAATGTAAGAGTTTTTTTTTTGTAGTGATATATACCAAATACTGTACAAGATTATATATATATACACTACATACTTATATAATCTTGGGCCTCCCCATCTATGGGCCCCCGGCCGGTGCCCTGGCTGCCCCCTCCCCCCCTGAGCCGGCACTGCACAACAACCTAAGCCTTTAGGTGTCATCTAATCATTCAAGCGCCTATAACAACCATGAAGGCGAAAATCGTTGCGCCTAAGTAGGGGAATATGGCGACATTGTATCAGAGACGGTTCTATTTGGACTGTGCGATTATGTACCTGTTTATTTAGTCTGTTTTTAGAATATCACTTCTGAGTTCTCGTACATCGTTTATATATGGAAAATAGACTTAATTTATAAGTCTAGTGGGCTATTCCTCCTTTTACCAATTGGTTTGGGATGAAAACTCACTTAAGTTTCATTTGAACTCTCTCTGCTTATAGTGCGTTTCACGTGCGTGTGACCTCATCCGTATTCTCCCTGCTTCTTACGTTTTTATATAAAAAAATTATACTTACAAAAATATAATTATGAATATAAAATATGATTTATAGGAAATATAAAATCGTATAAGGGGTGAACTCACTTAATAAGTATGTTGCTTTGTGCAATTTCCGAATTAAATTCAAACTGTCATTGTTGACCTCTACTAGAAAGCGGTGCAAAAGAATTTTATAGTGGAATAGTTATTTTAGTCTAGCAAAAAAAGTTATAAAATACAATGCATGGATATATTAACGAAATTGGGTATCGATGGGTACGATATGATGGACCACAAGTGATGAGGTCAATTATGCCGCTTAATAACGACATGGATACCGCATTCTTGTTCAGTAAAAAGCTGCAGAGATAGGTACAAGTCTTTCAAGCATTCTCTCACTGTTTTTGTTCTGTAGTTTTTTAGTGCATTGTTTTACACAGTAATGATAAATATATTAATATTACCAATGTGTGCATGTCACATAAACGATGAACATATTAACATGCGGTGGGTAGGAGAGCATTTTTCTTGTTTTACATTATTACATATGTCTCTTATGTGTGTGGCTTTTAAATGGTGACAAGTGTTCATTTTTGCGCTCTTCAAAAGTTGACAAGTGTCCTCTATTTTTTACATTTTTACCATTGCACTATGCATTTCACTTTGTATGCCTTTTTCTTTAGTAATTGTAAGATTAGAGAATTGGGGCAAGAGGGTGCGGTCCCATACATATTAAGCCCACTATAAGAGTGTGAACCTAGGTGCACTATAGTGAGGTTCCATCCCAAAACCAATAGGTGATGGGAGGAGTAGCCCACTTGGCTTATATACTAGACTCATTTTCCCTATAGAATCAATGTGGGACAACTCACAAGTGATACTCCAACACGCCCCCTCACTTGTGAGCCCTTCATAAGCCCAAGCCCTTAGCAGGCCGGGTAGAGATAGAGACCCTGACCGGAGTTGGCCGGGTAGATATATAGAAACCCAGTCAGGAGTCGGCCTGGCTCTGATACCATGTAAGATTAGAGAATTGGGGTAAGAGGGTGCGGTCTCACGCATATTAAACGCATCATAAGAGGGTGAGCCTAGGTGCACTATAGTGAGGTTCCATCCCAAAACCAATTGGTGATTGGAGGAGTAGCCTACTTGGTTTATATAATAGGCTCTTTTGCCCTACAGAATCATTGTGGGACAACTCACAAGTGATACTCCAACAGTAATCAACGTTTGCTTTTAGCAAATTACATAAAACGATACATTTTTTTTCTGGAAATCAACATGTTTTCACAATGGGTGTTACTATTCACCGCCCCCTAAAAGTTATTTTCTCCCTTTCAA